ATAGTCTGATAGAGAATTGGAATGGGAAACTGAAACATTGATTGTCCAAAATGGGGTGGGGGGATAGAGAGGCACAAAGGGCTGGCTTACACATCTTCACAAGTGTGTGCTCACACTCAACATGAGTGGGGCTAAAGGAGTGTCCCCACTAGAGCGTTTCCTTACTTTCTCCTGGAGAATCTGGGGAGGGAGGGTAGAACAGGATGCTGGTATGACTCTACAATTCTTCCAAAATGGGGAGGACATTGGTGTGACTATATTCACCTCGAATTTCTTTCTTCCTACCTGATGCAGTGGTCTCAGGTGAGGGATGCAACTACAAGTGCCAGAAACAGGAAAGATTCCTAAGCAAAAAACTGGAACTATACTTTTGAACCTGTATGTCAGAATTCCTAAGGGCCTGGAGGGAAGGGTTGTGGCTTCACCCCATCTGGTACATTGGGGCTGAGAGGAAATGCAGCTATATTGCCTAGTGGTCAGTTAGCCCACTAGTTCTGTGGCCCTCCCCTCTATGAATGGGAGTGGACTGAGGGGGAGGCACTGCTAGACTAGTATTGCTGCCTGCAGTCTAGACCAGCACAGCAGCCAAACCTAACGTCCCTTCCAAAGGTGGAGAAGTTTGGTATAAATGGAGAGAAAGAGAAATAGTAGCTGTGGGTAAAGGAATGAACAAATGGATTATGTTATGAAGGAAATCCAATATTACATTAACATCTCAGAACAGGTCTGATCAAGAGATGATACTGTCTCTTAGCTCAAATATCCAGATACCTGAAAGGGTGAAGCCATATATTGCTGAGACCACTCCTGCTTCTGGAACCTGACAAGATCAAATGAAAGCCTGCAAACCCAAATGGTTTTGTCCTGGGAAACATATTCATACCATTGAATGGTATGAATTGAATGACGGACTGCACTAATCTTAATGACTGAATAGGAAACAGTAATGTGCCAGCATCTTCTAACTGCTACAGTCCTTCTGCTATAGAGATCTGTGGTCAAAGATCAGGGGGTAGCCTGTGGTATAATAAAAAGTATTGTTTCTCCCTGGTTCTCAGCATAGAGCTCCTGAAACCCTTGGAATCTCCTGAGTGGTCAGAGGGACTTTGATATGATAATAAAATGGCTGAGGAGTCCTAGATAGCTTCAGGGTCGGGGCTGGTCACTAGAAAGACCCCAGTGGTGACGGCTGAGTACTAGCATTGCTGTGGAGCTTCTTAAAAACTACTCAGGCCTCTCCCCAGGCCCACCATCACAGAATATTAGGCTCAAGACCAAGGAATCCCTTATTTAACAAGCCCTACAGGTGAGGCTGATGCCCAGCCATGAGGGAATCCAGGTCTACATTCTTGCTACTGAATGTGTGATCTGAAGATCAGCAGCATCAGAACCAACCATGTTACATATACAGACTTTCATGCTCTCTTCAAGAACCTGAACGAGATGTCCAGGGCATTCCTGTGCACAGGAAAGTTTGGGACCTCTTGGTCTCCATGCTTTCTAGACACAGAGCCAGAACTGTGCAACCTGGCCCAGGTGTGTAGTTTGATCAGATCCCTTATCAATGGGGGGTCCAGGGTTCGGTCCTTGTTCCTTTCTCTCCTATAGCCATCACTCCCTTGGTGACCTCATCTGTTCTCAAAGCTTTAAATATCACCAATATGGTGTCACCTCCCAAATCCATTTCTCCAGTTCAGACAATTCTCCTAACCTCCAGACTCATTTGTCCAACTGCCTACCTGCTATCTCACTTGCATTTCTAACAGACATCTCAGCTCCAACATCTCTTAAACCAAATGCCTGTAAATTTGCTCCTTCCAAACTCTTCCCCATCTCTGCTGACAGCAACTCCACCTTTCTACTTGCACGGTCCAAAATTTGGGGTGTCCTCCCTGACTCCTCTTTCTCATTCCCCAGATTAATCCACTAGAAAACGCTGCAAAGTCCATCTTCAGAATGTATCCAGAATCCAACCACTTCCCACCATTTACACTGCTCACACCAGTGGAAGCCATGGACACCTCCAGCCTAGAATGCTGCACTAGTTCCCTCTGCTTCCCTAGTGCCTCCCTTGCCCTTGGCCTCCCAATTCTGCTCTCAGCACAAGAGCCACAGTGATCCTTTTAAAGGAGAAGTCATGCCATGATGCTCTTCTGCTCTAAACTGTCTTGTAACTCCCCATCTCACTCAGAACACAGGCCAAAGCCCTTCACATACTCCAGGCCCACATGGTCTGGCTGTACCTCTATCATCTCGATTGCTCTCTGCTCCAGCCATACTGGCCCCCTCACTCTTCCCAGAACACACAGACACACTTCTGCCCTAGTGCATTTGCACTGGGGGTTCCCCCTCCTGGAAAGAACTTCCCCCAGATATCCTCGTGGATAATTTCTCAGGTCCTTCACATCTTTCGTCAAAGGCCACCGTCCCAGTGAGACCCACACCGACCACCCAAATTAAACAGCCATCTTCCCTGTCCCCACCACACCATCTGGATCGCCTTCTCCACTGCACTTTTTTCATAACACTTACCACCTTCTAACATAAACACTGTCCTTATTTACTATGCTGATAACATACAGTCTGTCTCTTCTCATTACAACATATGCTCCACAAGGCCAGCAATTTTTCTGTTTTTACTTCAGTGATGTTTCCCAAATGTATAAGTAGTATGTCATACATCTGGTACACAACAAATATCAGTTGAATGAATGTTCAGTGTAGAGCACCTCCCTTTTCTAGACATAATATCTTTAATAATGTAACCTCAGGCCACATGCTGTTTTGTGGCAGCTACAGCAGAATGTCCACTCACCCTGAATCAATGCCCCTTCCTCCAACTCTCCCTCCCACACCAACCCTCCTGCACACCACAGCACACAATTACATTTCTCTCTTCAGAAAACAATGATTTGTGACTTATGAGTCCTATTTTCCAACCAGTATAAATCTAAAGTAGACTCCACTTTATACATTGTGAGTTTGGATTGGAGCCAGCACCAGGATGAGTAGAGCAAGGCCAGGAGAGAGGGCAGGCTGCAGAGCAGAAGACTCCCAACAGGAACTTTAGGATGAGAAATTACGGCATCCCTCCTCTCTAATTCCAGAATCTGGCTCCTTTGAGAACGCTGGGGAAAGGTGGAAATGACAGTCAAGCCCTAGAAGGAGGACAGAGCTGGATGAGCCTGAAAACTCATCTCTGGATACCACAGACACCTGTGTGCAGAGGCCACCTGACAATGACAGGCCAAATGACTCCTGCTGCTGTCAGAGAAGGGGGACACCCAGAGGAGAATGACCAGAACTCACACACGAGAACAAGAACAGGCACGATCCTCTACAGAAACAAAGAAACAACAGTTAAACATTCAAAAGGGGAGCTGAGGACCAGATCCAGGCCTGAACCCAGGGTGACCCCACCACATGAAGCCTTCACTGCCCACGGTCCTGGAGACACAAGGCCCATGTGATGTCCGAATACTTGTGCCCACAGGTCCTGTGGGACAGGTTCTACTGAAAGGACAAAGAAAAAGGCGCAGAGAAGATGACCCAACCAAGGAGTGACCATGTCAAAGCCCACGATGCACTCAACACCAACCAGGTACAGGCCCGATCCACATTCAACTCCTCACAGCCTTCTTCTGTCCCCACCTGCAACACACTGAACAAAGCAAACACACAAGTTCTGAAAAGTTCTCAGTGCTTCCATTTATTTCCCTTCTCAAATTTTAGGAATCTTCTCCTTTAATTAACCCATCACTCCCCCATGGCAAGAACCTGAAAAAAAACAAGTTCATATCTAGATTCTTATTTTCAATAAGGCAGTAAGAAGTTGCAGCTCAGTGCAACAAAAAGCTAAGACAGGGATGGAGACGGCCCAGCCCCGCTCTGCTGGAACAGGAAAGTCGATCAGGGAAGAGAACACATGTCAGTGTGGGGAGGGGGTCACAGGGAGACCAGTCTCCCCACCACCTTACATTATGCTAATAGGAACGCAGACACATTCAGATGCCCTTTGCAGAAACAGAAGTCAGAGATTCCTGAAGTCACAATGTGGGTGGACAGGAACAAATTTTGCATCACTCAGTTCCCCACAAGGCAGCTGTCTCACGCTATAGAAGAAAATAATTATGAACAAATTGAAGTCACTCACTGTAATTGGTGACATTCTGAGCAGCCCACCACATGCTCAAAATGTCCCAATCAAAGAATCCCCATAAGCTAGTCTGGTCCCCTCTGCTCCAACCCCTCCCCACTTCAGGCCCTCTGGAGTCTCACCTGTGGTGAGAGACACATCAGAGCCCTGAGCACTGTCACCGCCTGGGATGGAACAAAACAGGACGTGGTCAGAGCCCACAGGAGGTGAGACTAAAGGAGGAACTATGGTGTGGGTGAGCTCTGCCATGGGCTCCCATCTACACTATCCCAAGGGTCTCAGGGATCAACCCCCCTCCATACTTACTTGCAGCCTGAGCATAGCTCCCTCCTTTTCCACCTGTGGGAAGAAAACACCCTGTGAGAAACCAGGGAGGAGGCAGGGCCATGAGGTCCTAACTGAACCCCCTAGTCCTGGACCCCAGAGAAGTTTCCAGAACTGTGACTAGAGACTCAGGGCAGGATCAGGAAACATGAGGAAAGTACATATGTGGAGACTGGACCAACCACCCTCATGACCTGTGACTTCCCCTCCCCTTCCCCTCTGTTCTGTGACCACTGGGACAGGTCCCCATCATCAGACTCATCATAGTGATAAATTTGATCTTCATTCTCACATGTGCTTTACTAAAGAGGAAGTGTTAGCAAATAGGGCCCTAGACTAGGAAAGCACATGTGCCTGTGGGTGAGACTTCCCATTAACCAGGCAGGGAAAACTTCTCCCTGGGCTTGAAGCCCACCCAGTGGGACAAGAAAACTCCTACCACACCTATTCCCTACCTGAGCGCTTCTTCCTCCACATCACACTTCCAACCACCACAACTCCAGTGACCACAGCTCCAAAGAGAACCAGGCCAGCAATGATGCCCATGATGGGGATGGTGGACTCAGGAGGCGGCTCTGGGAACAGAAGCGAGGGAAGGTGAGGGCCCTGACCCCCAGCCTCCGCCCCAACCCTGCTGAAAGTCTGCAGAAAGCCTCCTGATTTCCCCGTGAAGAGACTCTGAGCCCACGTCTCCCTCCTTACCCCACCTCAGGGTGATGGGCTCAGGCAGCCCCTCATGCTGCACATGGCACGTGTATCTCTGCTCCTCTCCAGAAGGCACCACCACAGCCGCCCACTTCTGGAAGGTCCCATCCCCTGCAGGCCTGGTCTCCACAAGCTCCATGTCCCGGGTCTGGTCCTCCCCGTCACACTGCCAGGTCATGGTGATCTCCGCAGGGTAGAAGCCCAGGGCCCAGCACCTCAGGGTGACCTCATGGTCAGAGATGGGGCGGTGGGTCACATATGTCTTTGGGGGGTCTGAGGAAAATGGTCAGAAAATTCAGGAACTTTGCATCCGTGTGGGCCACTGAAGCAGTGCTCATGTGACCATCCTGAGAATGGACAGGACAACTGGGGTGGGGGAAGGGAGCACAACACCCAGACACCAGCTTGGACACAGGGACCTGAAATTATCTCCACTCCTTGGACATTTTTGGAATCAGCATGAGACAGCCCAGGGTGGGAGGCCAGTCTCTGAACGGGAGTAAAGGGATTTCTGATCCTGACCTGGGTGCAGGTGAAATGGTGCAGGTGAAATGACTCAGAAAACCTGATCAGACCTTAAACACATAGGCGTACAGCCGAAGAACAAGGCCTGAGAGGCCAAGTCGCAGAGCTGCTACCAGAGTCAAAGGGAACCCCTCTCAGTTATTTCAGGGATAGCTCCCCTCTCCATCCCTGGAAAGACTGGATCCCTCACGGCCCTGAGAGAAAGGCAGGCCCTCTGGGGGAGTCACTTTCTGGTACCGGATCTGAAACCCTAGCGGACTCAGTCTACCGATTCACGGGCTGGGCATATTCAGTTGTCTAACCCATTGTCTACCCCTCTCTATGGGATGCCAGCCCCAGACCGAGAGGAAATCCGGAGGCCCCGCGGCCCCAGGTACCTGCGCGCTGCAGTGTCTCGTTCCCGTTCTCCAGGCATCTGCGGAGCCACTCCACGCACTCGCCCTCCAGGTAGGCCCTGCAGCGCTCCGCCTCACCGGCCGCCTCCCACTTGCGCCGGGTGATCTGAGCCGCCGTGTCCGCCGCGGTCCAGGAGCGCAGGTCCTCGTTCAGGGCGATGTAATCGGCGCCGTCGTAGGTGAACTGACTGTACCCGCGGAGGAAGCGCCCGCCTGGTCCCACGTCGCAGCCAGACATCCTCTGAATGGTGTGGGACCCTGGCCCCGCCCCGGCCCCGACGACCGGAAGTGATTAAACATAAACTAAAATAGAAACTGCGGAAAAGTCTCCGCCCGCTCTTTCCGGGTGGGGGCGCCGGGCGGGTCCCGCAGCCTCGGGGAGACCCCGCCCGTCCGTGGGGATGGGGGGTCGTGACCTGGACCCGGGCCCGCGTCGCTCACCGGCCTCGCTCTGGTCGTAGTAGCCGAGCAAGGTGTTCAGCCTCCTTCGGAAATTCCGTGCGGCTTCCTTGAAGATCCGCGTCTGCTCCTCCCAACACTCCGGCCCCTCCTGCTCCATCCACGGCGCCCGCGGCTCCGCCCTCGGACTCGCGGCGTCGCTGTCGAACCGCACGAACTGCGTGTCGTCCACGTAGCCGACGGCGATGAAGCGGGGCTCCCCGCGGCCGGGCCGGGACACGGCGGTGCCGAAATACCTCAGGGAGTGGGAGCCTGGGGGCGGGGAGGGGCTGAGACCCGGCCCGACCCTCCGCCCGGCGGATCCCCGGGTGATGGGGGACAGAAGGGGGTGGGGGAAAGGGAGTCGTGAGACCGAAAAGGGGAAGAAGACGGAGAAGGGCGGGGAATCGGCGTGAGAGGAGGCGGGGGCGGGAGAAAGGAGGGGTCAGGGCGGGGCGGGGCCGAGGTGGGGGAGGGGGTCTGGGCAGGTGTCCGCAGAGACGAGCCTTCCCCAGGGGTCCTGCGCCCTCGCCGCGCGGTTCATTCGCTCTGCCCCCCGGCAGAGGCCGTTTCCTCCCGACCCCGCACTCACCCGCCCAGGTCTCGGTAAGGACCAGGACCCCCGCGAGCAGCAGGAGGAAAGTTCGGGGCGCCGTGATGCTCATGCTCGGGGTCTGGGGCGAATCTGAGTCCCGGCGGGTCCGTAGAGGCTTTATAACCCGGAACCGCGGAGACGCTGATTGGCTTCCCTAGAAACCGGACACGCAAAGGGAGTGAGAACTGGGGCGTCTTCAGGAGAATCCAGGCAGGAGAACCTGACACGTTGTGAGAGGGAGAAGTGAAACAGGGAGATGGGGGCTCCCCGACACTGAGCCTCCCCGCCCCAGACACCGCCCTCCGGAGGGAGACCCTGAGAGCCACCTCTGGGGACCTGGGACTCTGCTTGACCCCTCTCCTCTTGCACAGAGAGTTCTTGTCTGTCTCCCTGAGTCTTGGCCCAGGGGCTGTCTGAGGAAACCAAGGAGAGACCCCCTGGCTGGGTTCAGCCCCTTTTCCTCCTCTCACTGGAATCACTTTCCCTGATATGGACTCCCCACCTCCCACCCCTTACCTCTCCCCCTAGACTCTTCTAAAAGAAAACTCATCCCCAGGGAACTTGATTCTAGAGAGTGAGCTCGCCCTGGGAATGGAGGTGGAGGGACAGAGGTTTTCCCTTTAAACCTGGAGAAGTTGTCCCTGAAAACGACAGATAGATCTTCTGAAGGAGACCAACTTTCTTTTTGTTTATTGACTACAGCGGGTAACACAATCTTGAAAACCCCTGAACATCAGGAATCTAATCTGTAAAAGAAGTGATTTGGGCCCTTTTGTACAGAAATGTGTCTACAGGGCACTGCAATCAGACTCACAGAGCTCCTGTTTTACTTTCCCAGACAGTTCATCTGTGACTCCAGGTTGTTGTATTTTAAAATGATCTTCATTCCATAGCCCTGAGTGTGTCTGTGTGAATCCCTGACGTAATTTCAGTACAAAGAAGCACATGGAAGCATAATTTGTTACTGTGTATTAATTTTCACAAAGTCGCAACTGCTCAATGCAGTCAAAATGCCCTTCACCTGTGCTCATGCATTGCCTGCTTTTATGAGTTGTTCACAACTAAACAGTGTGACTATTTTATTGGGACACTTGTTATTGTTTTTTAAACTGATTAACATAAGGGGGCAATTCGTTTTTAGGCAGCCCCACAGAATGTAGTAAATACCAAATGCAAGAATACTCTGCTGGGCTCTGTAGATATGTTTATTAAAGATCGTTAAAAAAGTACGTATGTTTAAATCTGAGGATTCCACTGTTTTAGAATTCTTTACCTCTGCTTCTTTTCCTCACTCCTGCTTCTCTAGCCCTTCTCTCTGTCGGTCTCACCCTCAGCCCCTCTTCTCTCCTTAGTCTCCACCCACTCACTCCTGAATTGTGGCACCAGTGCCACCCCCTCACCTGCCACCCATGGACTCTTCTCCCCGCAGGGGTTAGTGATCCTGCCAGTGTGAGTCAGGATGTGTCATTTCTTCACTAAAACACTCCAATGGCTCCGTCGCATTCTTGGGAAGCCTCTAGAATGTAAGGCACATGAGCACAGGGGCTTTGGGCTGTTTAGGTCAAAGTTGTATCTCCAGCATATAAAGCCATTTCCAGTACATAGTAGGCATTAAATTAGTTGTTGAATAAATGAATGAAATATTATTGTATTAAAATGTAGTTATATTATTGAAAATCATAAAATGAAAAATACAAAAGAAGTTAGGAAAGATTTTATTTTATGCAACTAGCATGCTTACCAGTTCATAAATTCATTCCAGCAGAAAGGGCTCACCTGATTAGGACAGTCCAATCCAGGAGAATCCCCCTCTCTTAAGATCAACTGATTTGAGATCTTAGTTACATCTGCAAAATCCCTTCCTAGCAGCACCTACCTTAGTGTTTGGTTGAATAACCGGGGGGAAGGTGAATAACCAGGAGATGGTTGCTGTGGACCATCATAGAATCTGCTTAGCATGGCCCAGTTCTTCCTTTGTGTTTAATTGGCTCATCGTTGGAAATGGAAGTTCAAATAAATAGACTGTTGTGAATGGTAGTAAAATGCATCCTGTTTATTATCCATGGAAATTCTTCTTAAATCTTGAAACCAAATGACAGGTTTAATATTTAATACAGTGGTCCCCCTTATCCACACGGATACGTTCCAAGACCCCCAGTGGATGCCCGAAACCAGGGATAGTATCAAACCCTATATACTGTGTTTTTTCCAACAAATACTTTTGCACTTTGGGGCCATTATTAAGTAAAATAATGGTTACTTGAACACAAGCACTGAGATACCGGGACAGTTGATCTGATAACTGAGGTGGCTACTAAGTGACTAATGGGCAAGCAGCATATACAGCATGGATACACTGGACAAAGGGATGATTCACATCCCAGGCAGGACAGAGCAGGATGGTGCAAGATTTCATCACGCTACTCAAAATGGCATGCAATTTAAAACTTATGAATTGTTTATTTCTGGAATTTTCCATTTAATATTTTCAGACCACACTTTACAGCAGGTAACTGAAACTGTGGAAAGTGAAAGAGCAGATAAAGGGGAACTAGTGTAATTAATTTAGAGCAAGAAAAAATTAAAGTGCAATAATTCACTCTCTCTCTGGACCCTTTATTGTTATGTACCACAGCATAACAAATTACCCAAAACTTAGCAGCTCAAAACAACAAACATGTATTATCTTCCACAATTTCCCAGGGTCAGGAATCCAGGAGAGGTTTACCTGAGTGCTTCTGGCTCAGGGCCTCTCTCAAGGTTGCAGTCAAGTTGTCAGCCAGGGCTGTATCATCTGATGGCTTGACTGGGGCTGGGAAATTCCATGAAACATGGCTCATTCATGTGGCTCTTGGAAGAGGCCTCAGTTCCTTCCTGGATGGTC